TAATAATAATGATAATAATACTTGGCTGGGTTTATAGCAGTCAGTGACCGCAGTCTGCAGCAGTTATTTATCCGTTTCTCCTGACGAGGTGGTGGCTGTTCCCCCCCCCCCCCCCCCCCCCGCAGCCCACAGCAGGTCAGACTAGCCCCTTGTAATTTTGGGCGACACACCAAATACATGTCCGGACAGAACCTCGTGTGTCAACTCCCACCACTACCTATCACTGCCACTGCGACTACAGCAACAACTCCAACTCCAACTACTCTTACACCGTCATTTTTTGAGAGTTGGGACATCCAGATTTATGAAATGCTGTCTGTTCACTCTCGCTAATCCGTCTATTGGAGCCTCCGCGGATCCCCTGCTCCCTCTGCTTGGGACCATGTGTAACACAACGACTTTATCGCTCTTTGTTCACTCCTCCCACGTCTGACAATCTAGCCGCTCGCTTCAGCACACGGCTCACAGCCTACCCCATAACTTTGTCTCTCTCATTTCGCCTCTTAAAACGGTCGAACGGCACGGCGTTGCCCACCTCTAGTTATCCGCACGCCTCTCTTCCCCTCCTCCTGACCTACCTCCATTTTCGTAGAAATCGACGCATTCCACTCAGTCTCGATCCGGGGCACCACGCAATCCAGAGAGTGGCGCATTCAGAAGGACTCGCGTGCCAACCTCTCACCTCTTTGAGTCTCCTTTTGCTCCCATTCTCTCCCTGCCGCAAAAGTTCGTTTAAAAAACACTCATGCAAGCCGTTGTGTTTACGGACACTATCGATACACATCTGACCTGCCATGTCTTTTGATCCTCTTCCCCGATCCTCCCTCCCGTCGTCTACCAAGAGCCGATCCATAATCTCCAAGTTTACAAACCGCCTGGGTAACCGATCACGGAATATTGCGGAGTTCTATATTCAGCTAGATGAACCGTACAGGACATACTTTTCAGGTGAGGCGGTGAAGGGCTGCGTGATTCTGAAGGTTGTGAAACCGATCCGCATAACTCATTTGGTTCTCTGTCTGCATGGCTATGTGAAGGTTTTTAAGAATACAGTTGCGCCAGGTGAAGGTTCCGAGGAATCTGGGTTTCTTGGTCCGGGACGTGGCAGAAGGAAGAGTGAATACTTGGGGAACGGGTTTGCCACTCTTTTCGAAGATGAAGTTGTGCTTTGCGGAGATGGACGCCTGGTTGAAGGAATATACAAGTTCAAATTCAATCTGGAATTTCCACCTTATCGATTACCCAGTAGCATTACGGTATGTGAAACAGAAGCTATTCTTGGGACACTGGGCACCCTGTTGCGGTGTGGTGAGCCCTGCACATGTACATACTGATCAACATTTTTAGTTTGAACGTGGAACCATCTCTTATATGTTAACGTCTCACCTCACACGCCCTACGACCATATCCCCCACAATATCCTGTGATAAAAGGGTCACGCTTCTTGAAACCATCGATATTGCTCCGCTACCTCTTCCAAAACTACGCATTATCTCTCTTGAACCAGTATTAAGAAGATCCAAGATGCGGTCAAAGACAAAGGGCGCCTCTCGGGAACGGATTATGCAAAACTCAGCTTCTGCGGACCCCATTCCGAACGGTATTGAACATAGGCCACCGCTAAGTCCCGTCTCCAGCGAGCAAAGCAATTCTAGCTGCATGAGCAACAGCACACAGAGCTTTCAGGTCATCAGTGAACCAAACTCCACCAACAGTCAAAGCATCGCAAATGACGACTCTCAGAGCACGAATACTTCGTCATTAGACAAGACCATCAAAGCTAAAACAGAGCTTTTGCGACCTGGGGGAGTTCCAGGTGATATTCTACCCGTTAAGATCACAATACAGCACACGAAACCTATACGGAGTCCAAATGGGATTATCATAACCCTGTATCGACAGGGCAGGATTGATTACCATCCTTCCATCCCTGTAGGGCCTGCTGAAAAGGGAAAGAAGCCAGTGTATGAAGACTATTACCCAAAATCCCTCACTGGGTTAGGCGGGCTATCATTTGGCGCCACCAGATCCAGCAGCGTCTTCCGGAAAGACCTGTCACAAATATTTGCCCCGTTGATTGTGGACCCAGTGACCATGATGGCCACTGTAAAGACGTCCATTAGGATTCCAGAAGACGTTTTTCCAACTATAACACACGTCCCTGGTGGCATGATTAGTTTCCGATATTACCTTGAAGTGGTGATGGACTTGCGAGGGAAATTAGCTGGTCAGGACCGGTTCATTCCCCGCTTAAACATGATGGCGGGCTCTACCAACTATAGCTACAGTTCTAGTGGCCAGGTCCTTACTCTGTCAGAAAAGGGACGTAACCAAATTACGTCTCCTTGGGCAGGCAATATACTTGACACTGACCAAGTACGACGAGAGAAGAGTGTGGTTGCGTGCGTTTTTGAAGTTGTGATAGGGACCAAGGATTCCGGAAAAAAACAAAATCAAACGACGGAAATGAACCAAGCTCCTGACGATCATTCCACGACGCCCCAAATTGTCCAACATAACAATGTCTACGAGTGGGACCACCAGTACCAGTGCCCTTACACACACCTACACAACGACCACGATTATGCCAATGAAAACGGTTATGACAATAATGAAATAAGCGGATGGCAAGCACATCCTCCGCGCGGGCAGTATGCGTCATATCATACTCCCCAATTTCTTCCTCCGACCCTCCCAGAGGAGGAAATTGACGAAAAGACCCGACTACGGAGAGCTGAGGAGGCACTTCTCCCCAGCAAGCCGTCACAACAAGAGGATACGGTAGAAGTTGACTCTTCCACGACGTCCTCAGCACTGGCGCCCTCTGCCCCCGTTTTCTTCGAAGACAGTCCTCATGAGCACATTTCGAACAACCATTTCAATTCGCATTATATACATGGCAACTTCGTAGCCTCCGCTCCTTCAGTCAACTCCATCACCCCATTTTATCAAACTAGCACCAATATTCCGCCTTTGCCACTATCACTACTAGAAGGCAGCAACAGTACGAGGACACCCGTGACGGCGCAGGACGATAAACAGGAGCTCGAGAGACAGCGGCTCCTTGCACAAGCAAGTTCGCCAGATCCCCAGCATCTCTCGATAGATGAAACCATGGCGACCGCCTCCCCAGGTGGTGAGGAAGTTGCTCGTCTCATGCCGTCGGCGCCCATGCTGACGGAGGATGATTTGACCCAACCGTTGGCAACTTCTGAGTCACTACCCAGGTATCAACGATAACACGCTATTTTTCATCGTTGTACTTGTTGACATTTATAGTTCACACTTATCTCTGCAGCCATTTCCACTGCCAGCTCCTACATCTGATTTCTACACTATACCAACTTTTCAAACAGATGTCTGACATGATAATACCTACACTATACCTTATAATTCAACTGATATGCTTTGCAAGTGAATTATATTCCTCTACTTTTCTTCCATTATAAAGACCTGGTTGCTAGACCTAGACCCCTATTTAGTTCTCAATTTCTCCCTGACATACACCCCATCAGTCTTGCGTTATATTTTTACTCCATCCATCATCTTGATCAGCCTTATCTATATTACCCCTCAATTTCTCTTCTCTTTTTTCTTTTATACCTTGGAAGCGTACATGTTATATGCCGTATTCAATATATATATGTTACATTGTTGAATTTCTCTTTCCTTGAAAACATATTTTTATGACGGCCATTTTTGTCTCATGTCTGGGGGTTGAGATATCAAAGACAAGTGGTGAAGTTATCTCTCTGTCATTGCATATCAGGAATTCCTTTTCATGTTCTTTCTTTTCCTCTCGTCTCCCTCTTCTGTTTGATTTGTGACGATCTTATGAAGAGAGAAAATGCACATAAAACAAATTGATGAATGAATTCACAAATTCTTGTATGAAGTTGAGAACATATCTTTGAAAGAATGTGAACATGTAAACCGTTGTGAAAGGATGAAAGATGTGAGAGATGCACATATATTCATAGAGAAAGTGTAACCCATCACAGCCACCTACAATGATATAAGGTTGTCTCGAGATGTAGATGGTCATATTGTCCACATAGCAGTCTCTGGTCAAGAGAATATTGCTCATGAAAACTTGAAAACAATTACTGTTATCAATGAGCAACACAAGAATTCTTTATTCCGTCGCAGATGAATGGAAGTGAAAGTGTTAATGAATCTGGATGAGTACATGGTTTTATATGATGACCACTAGACATCATATCGAGAACCCAGGGATACCAAGAGAAATCATCAATCGGTCTAGAACCAGCAACGCAACACACATATCGTTACGATATAACGATACACGCCTAACTTAACATATTCTCCAACCTGGCGCTAAGTCACGCCCCAAATGCTGCAAATAAATGTATCTCCTCGCGCCTTTTGCAAAATGATAAGAGAGACAAATAGCGTTCTTTGGCAGTTGTGCCGGTTGCCTGCAAAAGTTTTTGAGAGATCTATAAGGCAAAGATAAGGCGTCTGTCTCGTGTCTTCCGCAAGTGACGAACCACCCTGCATTGAACAAGCATAGTACATGCAATGACCAATGCCGAAACAGTGAGATGACTGGCAGTTCGACAAACTCGACCAAGCCAGAGACCTGATAATTGCGCTACAGTTGGGAACAGTTCAAGAGAGGTATGTGTCAGTTTTGCGGCACGTAAGGGTGATGATGTATCTTCATCAGGCCCACTCCCCTGTGCAGAATTTGAACTTTTCGTTCTCTTTATGGGTCTTGAACCATCAACATATGAGTTAATATATTCTTGACAGTGTGATGCTGGCCAGCTGTGCTCACGGTCGATATTCTGTTTAACATCGAGCGTCGGGTTATATCTCGCTGTTGCAACCACCGCAACGCGACTCCCACCGTATGCTCGACCGCAAACAAATATATCATTCGCAACTTTTGTAAAGAACTTGTTTAACAAGCAGATTTAGTGCGTATGCATCTTTCGGCAACATGTTTATAGCTGCATCGAGAAGGTCATCCAGGTTTAGTTGCCATGGAAAGACTTTATCTGGTGATCTGCGAGTTCGAATTCGCACACATTCCGTTGTGATATTAATGCCAATATAACGAAGCTCGTCAGGCTTAGCTCCGCTCTTTTGAACTCCTGAGCCTCCACTTTCCCAGCTTGTAAAGAAAGCGGTTTGGGAAATAATTTGATTAGCAAGCCATGGGAGAATGCCTGTATGTAATCCAGAACTTCTGGTGCCTCTTGGATGTGTAGGAGGTCGATTGCAATGGGTTCGTGTCGAATCCCACTGATGGATAAATGAAACATCGTTGTCAACCTCAGGAGGGGCAGAAACATAGACAACGGCTTTCCCTGACGTAATTTAATTCCTTTCCCCTTTGTATATCCAGGAGTGAAAGCTTTGAGAAGGGGGAGCTTGGATCAAGAGAGATATCGTCAGCAGGAAGCACCTAGTGGTGGCGGAAAAAGTTAAGATAGTTCCTGTTATTTGTGTTTAATCTTTTGTCAAATCCGCCTGTAGATTTAGAAGCATCTTGGGATGTCTTTTTATTTCATAGACCTGGATCTTTTCCCTCTATAGCGGTAGGTGTGTAAATATCCTATCTCATCCGCATGATTGGAGGATAATAGGTGAAGTCTGGAGTGGGAGCATTGCGTTGAAGAGAGAACTGATGGCACTGAACGAGACATTATAATTATATCTAGATTTTGACACTTGAGTGTCCTGCTCTGAAGAAAACTGTTTTCTCTAGATTCCAACCCTGATTGTTTACAAATGTTCGGTCTTGATGCCTTGATCTTTGGAAGAATCCATGGATTTCCCCCCAACCATGGTAGCTACCCGTGCCGCTTAATCATATCTGATCTAGTGACCACAATAGCTAAAAATAACCTTAAATTTCCCCGATCGATGATATCGTGGCTATCGATCATTAAAAAGCCGGTCGATTTGAGTGCAATGAGTAGTGGGCGAGATGATTGTTCCAGCAAAATGGTATCAAAGGAGCATTGGAACTTCGTTGGAATATGGACCTTTCAATTTATCTATTATTTTCAGTTGGAGTTTTCTGAAATCCGGACAGTGCCCAGGAACTCATCCCAAATTTATTAAACCGATGCAAATTATTTGAAATTTGACCTCTCACTTTTATTTGATCTCTTCTTCCTTTACTTATATCCGTAGGGTAGCTCGTGCGTATGTATGGATCGCGGTCTGCCACAAATTAGTTCTCTCGGGTGATAGACTCAGATTTTGAGCAGATTTTAGTTTCGAAATTAAAGTGTTCATTGAAGATCAGCAATGGATGCCAGCCCTTGACAGCCGGAATTTCATGTCTACCTCAGCCTACCACTACTTTATTCTTGGCTGTTCACAACCTTGTGGAGAGGTTCCGACGGATTAGAATAACAAGCATGGAGTCGAGGAAGACTTCGGCGACCCAGCAAGGGAGTTTTCTACACCGTTCATTTGAATGGTTCTGGAGCTATAGTTTGACCAGGTCAAGAGGAAAAGTTTCAAAATAATGGGTTAACAACTAGCTACCAGAGGTGGTTTGGCTGAGCGGGTAACTCTGTCAACAGTGAACTGGGAACCCGTCTTGGTAAAAATAGCAAGGAATATAACAAATCCTTAAATAAACTGTATAACAAGGGAAACCAAATTAGCCTCTAAAATCAGTATTTCAATTGAGCTTCTTAGAAATGGACTTGAACATAGTGTTAGCTAACTAGTTAGTTATCTCTAGAAGCTTCGTCATTCATACAAAGTATCCAAGATGATCCTGAGAACCTTACGAAAATTTGGAACGTGCCATTTGAGGCTGTAGCTAGAATATCAAGTTGTTTTGGTGGTGAATTCCCGGAGTTCAATGACCTCATGGTTCCGTAACTATCTGTTCCTCAACCTGCAAGATGTTGATAAATGTGGCTCAATTTTGGTTCTCTATCTGCTGCTGGGTAAAGTTTGTTAACTATATGTTGGCGGCCTATTCGTCAGCTTAAAACACGTTTTCTCTTTGGCATCCTCGGCGGTTTGTTATTTATCGTTCGAGAGAAAAATTGCTTTGCCCAATCCATTCAACTTAATAATAAGTTTTGACTGAGGGAACCGTGGCTTCAACCTCTGAGTTATGGGAGACTAACAAGGGATCGGAAAGTTGGCTATCTTTTTAAGTGGGGTTTGGCGGACATTTATGCAAATGGGTCACATTTCGGCTGGGTAGTTAGTTAAATGGTGCTAATTGCGGTGGAATGAACCCGAATGATTGACCTGGAAAATGCTTCTGTTCGACAAAAACATAACGATTCTTTCAGAAGAACGCAGACAGCAGTTTCATTGTATAGCGAAATGCCAACGTTCGTCCGAATCATAGCAGGTACAGTACATGCATTATATTACATATGTCCATACATATAGTTAACCGAGTCTCATTGTTTGTTGCTTATCGTAGGTTCGTTTGACGCCCAAGGGATCAACGGCATTACAGTAAGCTCAATATAATAGATGATAGGATGGTGGTAACTTGCAGTAAATTAGAGTTATTGGAACGTATGGTTGAGGTGGAACCGAGGATATTGCCATGCAGCTCCATATCTTCTTACAGCTTCCAATAGGCCAAAAGAGCTTTGGTCGAACTCATCTCAACCATCAGCTCTTCATGAATCCTGACAGCTACGGAAGATCAGCAGCAACTATTCCGCAGATGGCAAAAATCCAAAACCTTGGACCGAGCCAGGCTTTCTGGTAGGACAGCAGCGTTAGCCACGCGCGACATCCTAAAGAACGTGCTTCATTGAGGGGAGGAGTTTGAACATACAGACCTGACGGGAAACCCTGCAAGTCGTGGAGACCTGAGGTACTCGTTCCTTAAGCCACAACTCAGACAACTTGTTAGTTAATCATGACATGAAAGCAGCATGACGCGACCTTTCATTCCATGCTTGACGCCCCGCTCCGGTCACTGGCTCTCATTCATATCCATGGAAGAAACAGGTCGGTACGGGCCTATGGCACAGTAGTTAGTTACTTGATGTCAGCTTGCCGATCAGAACTGACTTCTTCTGGCAGATTGGCACACAATGGCAACTCAACTAATCTTTACGTGATGCTGCAAGCCCTGAGCTCACTTGTCATAGACTTCTAGCCACAGACCTAATGATAGAGCAACTCCGAAGACAGACCAGTTTGTTGTACCTTGTGATGGTGTTTGTTAGATCGTATGCACCACGAGCCTTGCTGCAGGCGATTTTCAAATCTTCAGCGAACCAAATTTTGGCTGCGTCCACAATCATCCATTTATTTCAGAGAATCAAAATCCGAACTCATGCTATGGCTTGAATACCCTGCAACGGTCGGACATCGACAATTGATCCATTGCATCAGCATAGCCAGCCACAGAATACATGCGGACAGTGCGATGAGCCTGTACCCCTCAATAAAGCCCTAGCCACTGAAAGTGTGCTTTCGGAGAGCCACCATGGTAAATCAGCTACTTCACGCTGCCGCGAAGCGGGGCTAGGTTATCTTTCTCCATCAGCAGAGAAATGACTCTCTAGCTATCGCTTCACAGCTCTCCTCATTCGACAGCTATGCATCCCTTGTGATTGGGCCTTTTTTGTGTCCAAAATTGGGACCTGGAATCATGACCAGGTTGTGGCAGAGAGTACAAAAACAACTGTTCTTATTTCAGTTCCCAAAATCTGGCTCTCCTTCGATCTTCATCCGGCGTGATATATATCCCATGGTTGCCTGGGTCTGAACGCCTGATTGAAACATTCTCTATGCTGCGTCAAATTCTTCATCTTCCCTTAGGCCACTCAAAAAGCACTTCCGTTCAGGACCTTTCGTCGCCCACATCCACACAGCTAAGAAGCACGTCGTCCAGAAAAATGACTGCAAAGACTTACAAGCTTCCTGAATACCTTAGCAAACGCCCCTATGAATACTATGCGATCACTGGAATCAAAGCGGGGACGATCCCCGAACAGAAAAAGGCTCCAATCCGTCAAGAAATTGATGAGTGGAGCAACAACAGGGCAAATGCAGACCAGGTGGACTTGTTTGTTATGGCCTGGCGCAACCTCATGAATACATCACCCAGAGAGCGAGGTTCCTTTTTCCAAGTTGCCGGTAGGCTCTATTTGCCATGACAGTATATGGAAAGGATTCAATTGCTGACGATCCTTCAGGTATTCATGGTCAGCCTTATATTCCATGGGACGAGCCCGATACACAAATGGACGAAGCCAAAGATAAGGGTTACTGCACTCATAACAATATCCTTTTCCCTATATGGCATCGTCCGTATCTCGTATTGTTGGAGGTATGGTGTTTGAATGCTACTATCGCTCTCACCCAAATCGCCGGTTCTGATAACATCGGATTAATAGCAACTTCTCTACGAAAACATGATAACGGACATCATTCCTGCATTCCCGAAGGATAGACAAGCCCAGCTTAAGGAGGCTGCGGATTCGTGGAGGCTTCCATTCTGGGATTGGGCTGTCAACCATAGAGTGCCTACGCTCGCCAAATATCCAACAACGACTATCCCAACCCCAAGCGGTAAAAGAGCTAGAGTGGAAAACCCCCTCTATCAGTTTAAAATGCCAACGAACGAACCATTTTTGTCTGAAGGCGTGGGTCAAGTCTTCGACCCCTGGGCGGGGGAGGGCGGGAAGGGGATGTACTTTAATGTAAGTCCTATCTATCCCTCTGTTAGGTATTGTGGTGGAGGGCTAAAGTTGTGTAGTTCGGCCCTTGTATCGGAACTAGCAGAAGCCCCGACATAGAAGACAGCAAGGACCCCGATTCGGAGACATGGGTAAATGGAGTCGTCAACAATAACCAGGTCGCACTAGCACTCAAAAGCCCCCAATGGATGGGGGAGGGAAAATATGGAGCTGCTTCTGAGATGGTATACCGCCTGCTCACCCATCCTTTGGATTTTATGTCCTTTGCTACGACATTCCGCAGCAAAGGACAAGATGATATCAGCAAAGACGTTAATTTGGAATATATCCATAATACTGTGCATGGTTGGGTGGGAGGTAACTATACGGGACATATGTCTGAAATTCCAGTAGCAACCTTTGATCCTCTCTTCTGGCTTCATCATTGGTAAGTTGAATCATTCTTGATTTTTAGAAATTATTGTAGTTGTCATGACTTACAAATCCCCTAGCAACATCGATCGCATGTTCGCTATCTGGCAGGCATTGAACCCTGAAAAATGGTTCGACACTGCCGACAAAAATACGTTCTTTCAAGAAGCTCTTGGTCTTGCTGAAACTATCACCCCCCAAACTAAGCTTCGCCCTTTCCATACAGACAAAGTGGGCACATGCTGGACCCCTGAAGGAGCCAGGGACACTTTGAACTTTGGATACACCTATCCTGAGTTGCAAACGTGGGACGCCAAATACCAAGCTGCGGGAGCATATAACAACGAATTGCACTTGACTGACCTCAAGAAAGCTATCAACGAAAAGTACGGAGCCACGCGAACCGAGTTACTTGGCAACCCTACCCTTGGAGATAAGACAGATGATGGTGTTAAATCAAATGATTTTGCCTTTAGCATTCGATACAAGAAGTAAGTTTGTGTAACAGTAACCCAGTATTTTTGGGTTTTGAAGTCTAACAATTTACAGATACGCCTTGGGTGGAAATCCATTCACCATCAAGATATACCTTGCTCCCGGGGATGGAAAGCCAAGAAGCCCGGAAAGCGATTACGTCACGGAGGTTTACAATTTCAGTTTCCCATCGATTGTCGACGGGAAGGAAGTCTGTAGTAACTGCACTTCTGTGGAGGCAACAGAATCAAAGGCTACCTCCTATCTCTCAATTACATATGTTCTCATACAGTGTGTCAAGAGGGGGATTTTGCCCTCTTTGAACCAGGACGTGGTTACCAAGTTTCTACTGAAAAATCTATACTGGAGAGTTTTCCAGGTACGTTTGCACTGCTTCCAGACCTTCAACCTACCATGCTAACACAAGAACAGCGTGGAAGAGAACTTGACAGGTTCTCAATGGAAAAGATCGAACTTGAAGTTCTTGGCTCCTTCAATAACGCCAATCACCATGAAGATCCAACCATCCTCTCCGGTTTCAAAGGCTTCCATGATATTCCAGCGCTGGCAGGTGGCCCAGACGGAGCTCTTGATCCAAAATTAAAGAAGAAGCTACCGCCTCTACCAACCGCACCGTAAGTTTGAAAGGCGGAGCAATCCTCACATATATTATTATCTCTGCTAACCGAATTTTAGACCTGCTCCTCCATCAGCATTGCTCCGGCTTGGAACTTCTGTCGACCTTAAAGAAGACTTCATGGCAGACAGTGTGCTGATCTTCGACTCTTCTAAGGTAGACTTGAACCCGATAGTGACTGATACCATCGACAATACTCAGTTGACGTTTACGAACGGAAGCGACACCCTATTCTTGATCTCCTTCCGTCGTGCGGAGGGGCAGATTGTATTTAATACTAACTTAAAGGGCAAATGGGGTGCCGAGCAGAGGATCGACCTCGCTGGCAGGCTGACGAATACTGCCCTCTCAATCATGGTCAACGATCAGGGTGAAGGTTTCGAGGTCAGCCTTGACTTCGTCCACGCTGCCTGGTTCCCAAAGAGAGACCCGAGACCTATCAAGACAGTACACTATGGGGTCAATAAGAACCAGAACCCCGTTCTTTCTGACGTGTTGAAGGTGTCAGTATATCCTTCTCTAAAGAAGATTCTCTCTCATTAGGACAGGACAGAATGGCAGGCGAGCTTTTGTCTCCAGGCCAGGTTTTCTTTCTTTTTCCTCCCAGTTAGGGTCAAGGTAGCAGCCTGCACAAATCAGTTATATAAAGTGTTTAATTATCTTGTGCTGAGACCTTCGAACATAATCATCATGTCATACGTTTCGGCCAATCCCTCCTGCCGTTTTGTTAAGAAACTTTATTTCTGTTTAAGTTTGTTTTAGTTTACAGCGCACGGACCACACTGCTATCAAAAGGGGGTTCACAGGAAACGTACTAATGTTTTGTCTTCATCATATTCAAACTCTGGGGTTCCGAGAAACTGGTTCAATCAGATCTACTGCAGGGGAACCATTGATATGTTATTCTAAAACCGTTCACATAAAAAAATTTATAATTTCCATTAGGCATTCTACATGAATAAAACTATGCGCTAACAAGAAAAAGATATCTTGTCAATGGTGCATAAATTTACCCCACGTCTCAGAAGCCCAAAGACTTCGACAGCGACCCAGTGAAGGCAACAATCTTCCACTCCAACCATCTCGTTTCACTGTGATTTGGTGCCAAGCTTTATGTCATGGGGATTTTCCCCGAGTTGCCTCTTTCGACATCCAAAGGACGCTAATCAGAAGCTTGTGACTTCCAGACCAAAATTTCTTTTCATAAACTCCAGAATTATTGGATTTCCAAAAGCTCAAGATTTCCACCAGATCCATGAATATGAATCTCGTTTCTCGGTAAGTTGGTATCACATTTCCCAAAACTTGACTGGGGAAATCCAATCATACCTCATTGGACAGGAAGACAAACCACGTGATTAGCTCCAACTCTTCTGTCGCAAGACGTGTCAGCTTATCTAATACATCAATCAAATCTGCGGACTTTTGGCGTCGCAACGTCAGGTTCCGTTGTAGAACGCGCCTATGACTATCACACTGCGCAACCATTGCCCTCAGCGTTGCCGGTTAGCATATTTCAAATCGCTGATCAGCTTCCCTGACCCACATGTCATTGAGGTCTCGAACCTTGGAAACTTGTGTTAAATTCCCTGTGGTTCCTGGCCCACTCATCGTGATCCAAACACATCAATCAACCTTCTGTTGATCATCGAGGGGTCACTATATCACAACGAATGCATTGTGATCTCGTTGTGGAAACGTATTGGTACGTTGTCTTGTGCTCTCTAAGCATCAAGTCCCCGCTACTTAATTTAACTGAGAGATCCTCGCATGGCGCATTGAACCAAAAATTTTTGAGATGCTAACTTGTCCGCTTCGTCAGAATTTGATTTCTCACCTACCAGGATAAACCAAAGGACCTGCTTTGGCTGGGTGCTCCAATTGATACGTTTCGGACTCCCACACGAATAGAATTGATATCTGCGATCTCTCGCTTTCAACCATGGCTTTAACTGCTGGGTCATTCGTGACCTTCCTCATCGTTTGTCGTAAGTCTCCGAAACCACGCGCGTTCCTCCAACCCCGACTTAACTTCAACAACAACAACAAAATTAAAATAAATATAAAATATAAATATATATATATATATATAAAAGAGGGAGAAGCAATTGCTGCAAATCCAACGCAATAGAAACAGAAAGCAAACAACAAACCTACAGCTCACCTCTTATTTTTGTAAAACAGCAACCTCATTCTTCCTCGGGATAATCTTCTCCATGTTTCCCTACGATTACCCCGTCCTATGGTCCACAGATCCAACTCCCGATGCATACTATTCCTTCCTGGAGAACCACCTCAAATTCATGCATGCCTCTCCACCTTTGATCCCGCGCATTCTACACATCGTCGTCTTCGTTGGTTTAGCTGGTATCGTTTCAAAGCTCTACAAGCCTTCTGAATCCAACATGCTCTTTGACGGCGCCAGTCTCGTCCTGTACATGTGCGGTGTTATCGTTTACATCGCAAACATTGTCAAGGGTTTGCGAATCGTCTCTTCGGGAGACTATGGCGCTCCGGACCCAGGCGATGAGACGGATCAGGTGCTTGGACGCGAAGATAGCTTGAAGGTTATGGCTGCTAGTAACACGATACTAGCACTGGTTTTGGTGGGTGTTTTGGTCTTACAAGCTGGGCAGTGGTATGCGGAGCGCAAAGAACAGCAGGAAGCGGACGCGTTTGTGAAGAAAGAGAACGAGGCCAAGAAGGAAGCTCCCAAGGTCACGAGGCAGGGCCACAGCACATCGTCCAAAAAGAAGCAGTGATTTTTTCGCCGCCCCTCTCCTCAATTTAGGCCAAAAATATGGTTGTTGCGTTATTGATTAGTTTCAAGAAGTTTTTTCTCTTCTTCTTTTTCTTTTCCTCTGCCTAGTTTGGAGAAAATCTAGGGCTCTTCTTCTTTTTCCTGGCATGATTTCCGAACAGCTGTCTGTATATCAACAGTCGCCCTTTTGGATGCCATGTCAATAGGTGGTTACAAGGGCACTTTACTGTGTATCGTGGTCATGGTTGTTGTCAAAAGTCAGGCACAAGCTGAACAAGTCTGACTCATATTGTCACTTCTTCTCCTTTTGATTGCACAAGATGAGTTATAAATTGAGCATGAAGAGGGGTACCCTTGTTATCATGCGAAAATGCTACGTTTGTAGAATTTGAGTTTGGCTGTCCTAAAGTTTGCATTTCCAAATACGTGACGACAAAAACCACTCTGAAATAAATTGCAAGCAGATAACCAATTAATTATCAATGGTGAACTGTGACTCTACACAAGATCAACCATAAATAGGACAAGCAAAAACTCCACAGATGACTTCACAAAGAGGGGTTCAACACACCGATGTATGCATTGACACCTTCGGAATGAAAGTACGGCCCTCCGTATTAGAGCATCAAGATAGAAATTTCCAAATAAACGCGAAAATGCAATTTTAAGAAACCGGGCAGTCATTAGACATAGCAACATCATCTATGTTGATAGAATATGGTTGAAAATGGACCACCACAACAAGTAAGTGCACGGATAGCAAGTTTCCGGAATATCTATCCAAAGGAAAGGCGATTCATTTTGTTTCATGATCCTTCTGGGACACTAACTTGGTAGGCTGTGGTGCTTTTTCTTTTCAGGATTCCAAGCACTTATTTCATGATTCATTTAAGTTCATTTTCGCGTAGGGTATAGTTTCTTTAGGGGAGAATGAAAAGGGACTTCGTGGGATATCTGGGGAACGAGGACTAAGCGCTATCGCGAATAAACCGTCATCCACGCTTTGGTCATTGTTCTGGTTGAGGCTGGTAAATCCTTCCTGCCCTAGTTGTTGTTGCTGTGCCTGTATGGAAGCGGGGGGAAGATGTGCTACAGCTTGAGGTATCGACGGTTTAGTCGATTCAGCGATGGGGGTATGACGGAACGACTTGAACGACGATATAGCAACATCCGGACCCTCTGGGGAAAGGGGATGGAAGTCTGAGGCTTCTGTTCGGTTTGCTACAAATTTAGGCGAATGGAGTCAGCATGTTGCGCACTGGCCGATCATTGGTTCCATGGGTCGAAAAGAACCCCTTTACCTTGGGAAGGTTTGCGCGTGAGATCTTTCTCACTCGTACCCAGTTTCAGACCCTTGAGTTTTTCGCTGAGCTTCCTCCCACCACCCGGAGACAGGGGAGTAGTAGGACTGAGAGGAACAGAATTCCATGACGACACACTTGCCGTCTGGAAAGGCGCTGGACGGGCTCCAACACCAAAGTTGGTCTCAATCCATTCTTTTTCTTGAAGCGCCATCTCCAAGGCCACACCTTCTATGTTATATCTCGATTCCTCCCTGATTTCTTTCTCCAGCTCTTGTAATCGCTTCTTCGCCCATATCGTATGTAGAACCCCTTTCTTGCCTGCAGCTACTGCCGTGGCTCCAAGCTCAGGCGGGAAAATTGCAGGGAGAGGATTCACCTGGACTGAATCAGGTTTCTTAACTGTCGCAGCAGAACTGGGTGGTGGCTCATAGGCCAACGTGACGACAGGGGGGATGGTAGCATGGTAAGGGAGCAAGAAATAACATCGTCGGACGTGTTCTGACGTTTGTTCATTTGCCGGGAGGACAGTTTTCTTTCCATCCCAGGAGACGTGCCAAGTTCCCGACGACCTTGTGAGGTCGTCATCTTCCCATTCCACCATCAAAATCTTTGTGCCCTCGTTGCCCTTGCCTGGCTCAAATTCAAACCGTGCAAGAGCAGAGATAGACAACAATGGAGACGGATCATGAGGAGTGTCCAACACATCAGAGTCGCTGTATGGAGTAAATTGCTGAGCCATGTCTCTACCACTCCCACGAAACACGGGGAGACAGAGATAAAAGGAAAAGAAATATAAAAGGGGAAAAAGCTAGGGAGAGACAACGGAGCTGGATCAAACAACGGGCACCGGTAACTAGCCAAAAACACAGAGGCCTAAGGCATCCATGGACAGACACAGGTGTTGCATGGGTTGGACGGTACGTACTGAGTTGGTGTCTCGTCGAAGAAAAAGGAGAGCCCACGGCGAAATCACGAGGCAAGGCTCACAGACGCAATGACAGTAACAATCCGCCCCCCCCACCGGCAACTAGCATATTAGCAGCAAACTAAGCAGGATTTCGAACAAGAAAGGAGAAAGAATTAGCGGGCTGGCCCGTCAAATGGGCTTGTCGTGACTATTGTTGTATTGAAACATCTTCCGTCAACCCTTCTAGAAACTTGCATATCACAATATGTTGCAACCAATGCTATTGGGGGCCGCTGTCTGTCTGCCATGGATATCCCATGTAACTAGGCACCCGAGGAAGGAATATGTATACGGAATATGTAGAATTGTCTCAACTCCCCGAAGTAACTGGGCCTAAACTCTATCTCTCATCACGAACAAGATTTCTATTTTCAGATCTTCTTACAATCAGCACGGCTTTGTGATGTCTACTATTTATTTCCATAGTGAAAATAGCAGAGTTGAAATAGTTAATAGAGCTTATGCCCCCTAATACGCTAACGGGGGGGGGGGGGGGGGATTGTGATATGAAACTTGAAATGCGACGGAACTGCTGACGAGGAATGCCAACATATGGACAATAACAATAACAACCCTTAACCCTTCTTGGTTATGGAAGCCATTCTCTGCTACACTTGGATTCAGTGGGTTCCACCCCGGGATTCAGGGGCGATGTCATTTCGTATTAATCGTGCCGCTGCGCATCCCACACCTCATGTGGGTGTGCCACACCAAAATGATAAAAACACCGAAACGATAAAAAAATCTTGAATCACATCCTCATTATTGCACTCTATATCAACAACCAGTAGCTAATCTATAATAAAAAGATTATCTACATCATTCTCAGTATGTGTGCCATCTCTAAATTGATTTAATTCCTCTTCTGTCAGTGGTGTGAGTGGGTTATTGTCAATTTTCATGGAATCAACTCCAAGCCTCTGTTGCTTCTTATTCTGCTCTTTTTCAGCTTCATTATTCTTACACTGCTTGATTTTTCTATTGGCATCTTTAATAGTGAGGACTCTCCCTACTTGAACCTGGTGATGGGTTGTTTTAACTCTGTAGTGTTTACTGACATTGAGAAAGTTCTCTAATTAAGTGGTCTGTTGCTCATTAAGTTCTGTGTTGATTAGACTTTCTTTGAATATCTTGTTCAAATGACATGTCAAAGTGGATGATTTCAAATCAAGAGTATTTCTAATACTTTGTATGGTGTTTTCCACAATATTAATATGGTATTTCAGCTTTTGAATTGTCTTTGATGAGAATAGCTGAGAGAAAAAGATAGATATGTGATCTGAATCATTCTTATCTTCATAAATCTGCAATGAAGGAGGTGATGAGATTTACTGCTTAAGAGTGTCAAAAACTCAGTCAGAATTTCATGAATATATGTCATGTTAAGCCCATTCTGCAGCTATTGTATCAGATTTAAAGATCTGTTTTTGCATAGCTGAGAGATCTTGTAGAAACTGCTATTTTTCTTATTTAACAAGATCATGGTGTGTGGCATAGTTGACTGCTTTTGAATGATAATACTTATATTGCTGAAATGATAGACTATTCAGAGATTGTAGCAAATGAGTGACATGTCATGGAAAATTCATATAAAATTATCTTATAAAGATCTGTATATTGTATGAACTTCTCAGTGATATGAGATTTATGATTATTCATTAAAAGTAATTGATGACTTCTTTTCTGTCTCTTTTCTGTAGCAGTATTGAAATGTTTGAGTCATTCAAATCCAATCTCATCATTGGTAAATTCAGTATCTGATATAGCAATTCTATAATTGCTAAGTAAATCTGTCTGTGTATATCAATCCTCCAAGTGTGTTTTGAAGGCCAAGATTATCAATGGCAGAATGACATGATTATCTATGAATATACATTCAATGATTGTAATCAAATCTCTTGAAAAGAATGAAGAAATGATGGAATTAATTTCTTTAAAAGCAGTTATAACTCATTCTCCACATTCTTGTCCTTTTTGAAATTCAATCTCATCAAAGTTATATGTATTGCAGATGTGAAATTGATACTGCTCAAATAGAATTCAGAGATATTCAAATCATGTATTAATATATTCAATATCTTCAACTGCCACTCTCTTTGAATTCATTGACTTTTGTTTTATCCTCTTATACTCAGATAGGTGTTCAATAAACCTATAAGTTCACATCTTGCTGACTTTTAAAAAAGAGGTAGTAGGATCTATGTACTGATATCTGAGCATTGAATTTGTGAAATCTTCAATATGTTCAGCTGTGGGAGGATAATTCTTTTCATCAAACAGCTTGACTCATTATTTAATTGCATCCTTCTGACTCTTATTTAATCTCTTGTTAACTGGAATCTTTGCAGTATTCAGATTCCTTCCATTGATACACACTCAGAGATATTGAGAAGGAACCTCAAATTCTCATGACAGAGACAGTATTTTAGAATTTGGGTTTTTTTGGTGGTAAGCAACAGCTTTTTGAATATGGTCTTCAATATTTTTATCCTTATTTGACATTGTGGCGAGTTATTAATTGATGAAGATGATGAAGATGATGAAATTGCAAGATTTTTATCATTTCAGTGTTTTTATCATTTTGGTGTTGCGCAGCGGCACGATTACCTCGCATCGGTCACGTTGGGGAGGTAAAGCCGAGGAACTCATCCCAGTGAGGATTCTGGAGCAAGCGGAGATGTTTTGACATTTTAACTGACATATATACATCCCTGTCTCTTTGACATCCTGAAATCGGAATGCGCTGCACTCGTTCCAGTTGCTGGTTTTCATGAGCTGCTGTCTGTCTCGACAATCGGATCAATTGCCCCTCTGGAATACGGGCCCATAACTTACCAGTTTGACACCGTTGAAATTGCCAAAAAAGCATATATGCCGGGCCACCTGCTCGAACCAGCCTGTTCAGAATCAGACTTGACACTTGAGGGTTGTTACGGGCTCGTTTGCTACATTATCGGGTGACAGGATGTCTGTAGTTACTTAACCGTCACCTTTCTGAGAAAAGCAGTCACTTTGCAAAACCTTGCAACATTAATTTCTCCGTTATCCAACACTTGTATATGTGTCCGGGGACAGGATCCCGAGAAGGATGTAGGATGTGCACGATGTAGACACATACTCGCTTCCCAGGTCCGGCATCTGATACTCCGGCAAGCCCTCACATCCATTCACAGGCAGGCTGCTCTGGATTCAATCACTTAGCTATGGGAAAGAAGATGCAGCACAGCATAGCAAAATTTTACACCAGCCACTATTCTATCCCCTGTAGTAATGAGGAAATGGGATACACAACCCTCCCAGCTCTTGGGTCTGGGATATGAAGATGTCATTGATTAATTCTGAGCTTGCTTGAGATCAGAACCTTCTGAGTTGCACCTGAGGTCACTGTGAGGGTCAACCTTTATTCTTTAGCTCAAAGGGCAGTCCCTGGTTTGCCGGCTCCTCTAAATGAATATCTGAGTCTGAGACTCCATTCTCCAAAATGACAGTCGATCGAAAGAATCAAAATAGATATAACTGGGGAGTGAGGTCATGGAATAATATTTTCTTTCTTCGCTTGTAGAATATTAGGGAGACAAACAAGCCGTTCATTAGTTACTGTCTTCGATGCGTGTATTCACGTGATTGAACTGATCTTGAGTACAAGGACATGAGAGCCGCTTTTGCACCCAGTCAGATCCATGGACGAACTGAAAACCACCATCTATTGGCCCACGAAGGAGAGACTTTGCAGAAGAAGAATGGATTAATGTATGGAGGAGGTTAACCCACACCCAATCACTGAATTCCAAATGGAGGGCACTTGATGATTCCATAGGACCACGGTTCAACCAGCGCGAGGCAGTTGATGTGGCTGGAAAAGTATCGTGTGCCCAAAGGATGCTCTATTGGTCTATCATGTTAACCCTGGCTTTTGGTTGCTATTCGCCAAGCTGAAGCAATTGCAGGTAAAAATTGCAGGGTGACGGGGCTGGATTTATCGTTCGTGTCCTGCGAGAAACAATATCTGCCGATGGCTGTTGGAGGTGAGAATTTTTTAGTTGCAATGGGGGTACCTTTATAAGCGCTTGCTAATTACTGTAGATTGATCATTACGCGTATTGGATAGAAGTGGGAGGCTGCTTGAAAGATTCTCTGTGATAAATTATTGCAGTAGATAAACCGACAAACAGACATGGAGAGTTGGTGTAGGAGCTGCAACCAAACCCCGTCCCAGAAATAAAAAACATGACCTATATACGGGCACAAATGACAAAGGAAATGAAAGTAGGTATATATACGTAGTGCGCAGACATTAAAAATATCCCAGGTCCGATCCCAACCATCATGACAAACACAGATAAACTCGAAAAAAAAAAAAAAAAAGGAAACGGTAGTAGTGGGTAGGATGAACACGTAATAGTGCTCAGGAGGAGACCTGATATCGTATAGATACACACACCTCATCCTGTATGCATTCAAGTGATATATAATGCAAACCGATCTGGGGTATAAACGAACCCCATTAGAGCGGAAATCCTATTCAACGACAGACCAGGACACCGGCCTATATATCCAAGACCACCAGTGGGAGGCTAAAGAGAAGCGGAGAAAACGAAAAGGAGAGCTATGCGATTGCAGAAATAGACGCTAAAAGTCGACACGCACTGGTAAGATAAGATAGGATGCGGCCGATATGTTGACAAAAGTTTCCAGGGCAAGGGAACAACATATGGTGGGACATGGCTGTTGGAGTTTCCGATACTGCTCACGTCGGTTCGCAGCGCTGGAGATATAGTCCCGTGTAGCCTCAGTGCGGTATATGTTAATACACGGAAGTTACGAGGTAGTATCGCCGTAATATAGCCCAGGGAGGCTGACTCCAGCGGGAGGTTTGAGGGGTAGGAATGGAGAAGTACTACAGGGGTTTGGTCGAAGATAGATCTTTGGAGACAAATGGGCGGTCAAGGTCCGCGAGTTAGGGTGCAGGTAAGAAACGCAACAGCGATATATCAGACATTTCGCGATTTCATTGCTCGGTTTTTCTTCGTTTGCCCTTTGGAGCTGGCTCTAGAGGGGTGCGCTTGTAAGTCACGGTTCGCGTGACGACATGTCGAACGCAAACAGGTCGTCCCGATGAACTTCGAGGAGGATCGAAAAACCTAGCACCTGGAGAAACGCACCAGTCTGATGGAGAGAATTGGGACTGAGACCGCGCTGACATGCATGTAGCGCTTTTGGGAGACGATGCGCTCATCGGTGAGCGCGCGGTTGCGGGGGATGCTGGTATTCGCTGAGCGTGCAGGGATTTGGGAGTCCTTGCTGATCTTGGATGCGCAAATGGGGATGGTGGAGGGATAGATATGGCTGGCAATTTATGCGGCTTATGGATATCGCAAGTACAGGAGCGCGTGCTGCTTGCGGTCGAAGGCTGAGAGGTTGGTGAAGAATATCCAGAGCTCGTTTCAGAAAACACAGGGGAGGCAGTCTTCATGGGGCTAGCCAGTACGGGGGTAACTGACTTCAGAAAGTCTATATAGGCCACAGGCGGGGTGATTGGGGTTTTCAGAAGTGCATCCTCCTGTTTGATAAAGTCTGGTCTGTCAGAGAGTAGCACAGGACTCTGATGAAGTTCAGAGGGAAAAGTTGCAGACTTCGAGGTGGAAATGGGAGGAAGCCTTGGCTTCGGAGAATCAGGCATGGTTTGGAGAGTAGAGCACTGATCGTAAAAATGAACTATCCGCAGGATTAGAAAAGAACGGCCCATACAACAAGTGAATGTCTCGGGCACGAACGAAGTTCAATTCAATGGGCCACGCCAGGATACTACTATGGAGGACAACAAGGCTTGGGGAGCAAGACCAAAGGATCGAAACAAACAAGAGAAGTGGGCAGCAGTGACCTTTAATAATCACGATGCGCTGGAAGCAACTAATTGAGTGCACAGAGGAAACGGAGTGTGCATGGGACTATTGGTGAGAATTGTTCTGGTCACGGCCCCCAGAGCAGAGCAACTTTCCAATGAAGCCGACCAGCGTGCTTCAACCCTGCGCGTTGCTTTCTTTCTTTCTTTCTTTCTTTCTTTTTCTTTTTCTTTTTCTTTTTCTTTTTCCTTTTCTTTTTGGCTTTTGGACGAGGGGATGGAGGTGCAGGCGTGAATTATGATTATGACGCCTGTTGCCAGTGCCTGGTGGGTGCACCTCGAGGTTGGGCGCGTAAATCTGACCAGTACGAGGCCTTGAAGCAGCTCGGCGGTTTCAGCAGTGCAGTTCAGGGGCTAATATTAGCAAAGCCTAGCACGCAAACGGCCTAGTCAGTCACCGGGGTGGTTGCAAGCCCTAGTTCGTCCAAGGACTGGGATGCTGGGGACGATGAACGGGTGCTGAAGCGTAGTGATTGGCCGTTGCCACCTGCAATTGACGACAGACAGCGAGCCGTGATCACACTTGAGGTCGTGCAGCCGGAGCGATTGCCGGAGTGCTTCAGCGGAAACCTGAGAGAGACGTGGGTTGAGTTGGTGCTTGAGCGGGCGAGGGATAATGATGGCAACTCGTCGAACTACATTGCCCAAAAGGAAGAGCAAATATTAGCCCCCAAATGCGCTCCTGCATAGGCTAGGATGATGTCATGTCGCTTCAAACATACCAAATGGTAGTGGAAATTGGGGAGGGATCAAGCTTAATTAAAAGAGAACGTCCGGGGAAGAGGAGTCGGGATGTTAGCAGATCAGGGTAACCCGCCGGTGAATGTGGCGACGTGAAATGCCACCAACAAACAATAATAGGGCAATAATAATATGGAGAATCCACAGATGATTGAGACCTCGGAACGGGAATAGGAACAAGTTTGGACAGATGCTGACTCAAGTTTTGGGTTAGGATGAGTGTTCACCAGATGGAATAATGATCAACATTTTAGACTCTCCGGTCTCTTCAGACTTCTTAGGGCTCCTTTATATCCTCCTCCAGGCTTGTGTCTCCTCCTTAATTCCCCTCCGTTGACGCCAGCCATGTGTCCATTTGTTTTCTTTCCCATCGCAAAAGAATGGGGCATTAATGAAGAGGTGACAAACACGTAACGGCCAATCGACGTTTCTCTGCAGGAGGGAACTTCATGTTCCACAGGTGTGTCAAGGACAAGTGACAAAATATTCAAGTCTCGCTCTCTGGTCTGGTCTCTGGTTCGTATTTGGAGGTCCATTGTTGAGCGCCTCCTTACCCAGGAGGGGTTGTGCCAGCTCGGCGGCTCGGTCAGCGGTTCCTCTGCAGATTCCAAGCAAATCCCAGCACTGAGAGACGGAGGTCAGCTACAGGGCAGCAGCGCGGGCACAGTCTCCAGGCTATCTCTCGTCTTGCATTGGCTGAGGTCTCCTTTTTTTATTTTTTTTTTTTTATTTTTTTATTTTTTATTTTATTTTTTATTTTGCATACACGACTCGATTCTACCTATTTTGTCTCTCTTCTTCAATCTCTAGGTGACTCGGGAAGTTTTGTCAACCAATTACGGTTGGGAATCCTTGATGATCTCAAGGCTGGAGTTGGAGTCGCCTCCTTCAACAACACCAGGCGCCAGCAACGCTGGTCCGCATCCCTAAATACCCTGACTGTTGTTCTGGAGGTCCTTTGATAGCCATGCTACTGGACAATTCCCTTTGCCCTATCAGCTATGCATAGCTTCTTGCATGAAATCAAGTATATTTTTCGATCTCGCAATAACCATTTATAGCGC